TATGGGGTTGAGATCTGGAGACTGGCTAGGCCACTCCAGGACCTAGAAATGCTTCTTACGAAGCCACTCCTTCGTTGCCCGGGTGGTATGTTTGGGATCATTGTCATGTTGGAAGACCCAGCCACGTTTCATCTTCAATGCCCTTGCTGATGGAAGGAGGTTTGCACTCAAAATCTCATGATACATGGCCCCATTCATTCTGTCCTGTACATGGATCAGTCGTCCTGGTCACTTTTGCGGAGAAACAGCCCCAAAGCATGATGTTGCCACCCCCATGCTTCACAGTAGGTATGGTGTTCTTTGGATGCAACTCAGCATTCTCTCTCCTCCAAACATGACGAGTTGTGTTTTCTACCAAACAGTTCTATTTTGGTTTCATCTGACCATATGACATTCTCCCAATCCTCTTCTGGATCATCCAAATGCTCTCTAGCAAACTTCAGACGGGCCCGGACATGTACTGGCTTAAGCAGGGGGACATGTCTGGCACTGCAGGATCTGATTCCCTGGCGGCGTAGTGTTACTGATGGTAGCCTTTGTTACGTTGGTCCCAGCTCTCTGCAGGTCATTCAGTAGGTCCCCCCGTGTGGTCCTGGGATTTTTGCTCACCGTTTTTTGTGATCATTTTGACCCCACGGGGTGAGATCTTGCGTGGAGCCCCAGATCGAGGGAGATTATCAGTGGTCTTGTATGTCTTCCATTTTCTAATTATTGCTCCCACAGTTGATTTGTTCACACCAAGCCGCTTGCCTATTGCAGATTCAGTCTTCCCAGCCTGGTGCAGGTCTACAATTTTGTTTCTGGTGTCCTTCGACAGCTCTTTGGTCTTCACCATAGTGGAGTTTGGAGTGTGACTGTTTGAGGTTGTGGACAGGTGTCTTTTATACTGATAACAAGTTCAAACAGGTGCCATTGATACAGGTAATGAGTGCAGGACAGAGGAGTCTCTTAAAGAAGAAGGTACAGGTCTGTGAGAGCCAGAAATCTTGCTTGTTTGTAGGTGACCAAATACTTATTTTCCATCATAATTTGCAAATAAATTCTTTCCAAATCAGCCAATGTGATTTTCTGGATTTTTTTTTTTCTCATTTTGTCTCTCATAGTTGAGGTCTACCTATGATGCCAATTACAGGCCTCTCATCTTTTTTAAGTGGGAGACCTTGCACAATTGGTGGCTGACTAAATACTTTTTTGCCCCACTGTATGTACAGGTAAGCCTATAATATGGCTTGCCTACAGGTACAGTAAATATCTCAACGTGCACCATTTAGGAGATATTTACTCTGGCAGCAGCTGGTGATGTTACGGGCGCATGCACTCTGAAGTAACGGCCTGTGCCATAAAGTGACTCTTGCGCGCGTGTGCGAAAGTGACGTCATCGCGGTGGTAACAGTGCACCGCTGGAGGGCTTTGTTTTCAGGTAAGTCTGTCAAAATGTGCTAAAATGCAGTGCATATTAGCACATTATGACTTAAAGTGACTGGGCCCAATCGTTATTTTTACTGCCCCTTTTAACCAATTCAATACTGGGCACTTTTACCCCTTCCTGCCCAGGCCATTTTTCAGGTTTCCGCGCTCTCACACTTTAAATGACAATTGCGCAATCATACAACATTGTACCCAAACTAAAATTTTATAATTTTTCTTCACACACCTAGAGCTTTCTTTTGGTGGTATTTAATCAACACTGGGGTGTTTATTTTTTGCTAAATTAACAAAAACAGACCAAAAATTTTGAAAAACAAAAAACACGTTTTTCTTTTTCTGTTATAAATAATTGGCCTTCATAAATTTAGGTCAAGATGTATTCTGCTACATTTTCTTTGGTGAAAATAACCCAAATTAGGATGTATTATTTAGTTTGTAGGAAAGTTTATAGAGTTCACAAACTATGGGTTATATCTGAAAATTGATCAAGCCTGAAGTACTGATGGCCAATCTACTTTCTTGAGGTCCAAAAATGTCAGAACAGATATCCCCAAATGACCACTTTTTGCAAAGTAGATAGTCCGACGTATTTCATAAGAGGCATGGCGAGTTTTTTTTTGAAGTTGTACAGTCAGGTCCATAAATATTGAGACATTGACACAATTCTAACATTTGTGGCTCTATACACCACCACAATGGATTTGAAATGAAAGCAACAAGATGTGCTTTAACTGCAGACTGTCAGCTTTAATTTGAGGGTATTTATATCCAAATCAGGTGAACGGTGTAGTAATTACAACAGTTTGCATATGTGCCTCCCACTTGTTAAGGGACCAAAAGTAATGGGACAGAACAATAATCATAAATCAAACTTTCACTTTTTAATACTTGGTTGCAAATCCTTTGCAGTCAATTACAGCCTGAAGTGTGGAACGCATAGACATCACCAGACGCTGTGTTTCATCCCTGGTGATGCTCTGCCAGGCCTTTACTGTAACTGCCTTCAGTTCCTGCTTGTTCTTGGGGCATTTTCCCTTCAGTTGTGTCTTCAGCAAGTGAAATGCATGCTCAATCGGATTCAGGTCAGGTGATTGACTTGGCCATTGCATAACATTCCACTTCTTTCCCTTAAACTATTTGGTTGCTTTTGCAGTCTGCTTTGGGTCATTGTCCATCTGCACTGTGAAGCGGCGTCCAATGAGTTCTGAAGCATTTGGCTGAATATGAGCAGATAATATTGCCCGAAACACTTCAGAATTCATCCTGCTGCTTTTGTCAGCAGTCACATCATCAATAAATACAAGAGAACCAGTTCCATTGGCAACCATACATGCCCACGCCATGACACTACCACCACCATGCTTCACTGATGAGGTGGTATGCTTAGGATCATGAGCAGTTCCTTTCCTTCTCCATACTCTTCTCTTCCCATCACTCTGGTAAAAGTTGATCTTGGTCTCATCTGTCCATAGGATGTTGTTCCAGAACTGTGAAGGCTTTTTAGATGTCGTTTGGCAAACTCTAATCTGACCTTCCTGTTTTTGAGGCTCACTAATGATTTACGTCTTGTGGTGAACCCTCTGTATTCACTGCGGTGAAGTCTTCTCTTGATTGTTGACTTTGACACACATACACCTACCTCCTGGAGAGTGTTCTTGATCTGGCCAACTTTTGTGAAGGGTGTTTTCTTCACCAGGGAAAGAATTCTTCGGTCATCCACAGTTGTTTTCCGTGGTCTTCCGGGTCTTTTGGTGTTGCTGAGCTCACCGGTGCGTTCCTTCTTTTTAAGAATGTTCCAAACAGTTGTTTTGGCCACGCCTAATGTTTTTGCTATCTCTCTGATGGGTTTGTTTTGTTTTTTCAGCCTAATGATGGCTTGCTTCACTGATAGTGACAGCTCTTTGGACCTCATCTTGAGAGTTGACAGCAACAGATTCCAAATGCAAATAGCACACTTGAAATGAACTCTGGACCTTTTATCTGCTCATTGTAATTGGGATAATGAGGGAATAACACACACCTGGCCATGGAACAGCTGAGAAGCCAATTTTCCCATTACTTTTGGTCCCTTAACAAGTGGGAGGCACATATGCAAACTGTTGCAATTCCTACACCGTTCACCTTATTTGGATGTAAATACCCTCAAATTAAAGCTGACAGTCTGCAGTTAAAGCACATGTTGTTAGTTTCATTTCAAATCCATTGTGGTGGTGTATAGAGCCAAAAATGTTAGAATTGTGTCGATGTCCCAATATTTATGGACCTGACTAATTTTTTTTTTGTCATAATTTTTTGGAAAATGAAAAAATTATAAAAATTATTTTCACTTTTTTTTTAATACTGTCACCAGTGCAGTACAGGGTCATCATATAACATGGCATGATGGTGATCAGGGACACTGATGACATTACAAAAAAAAATAATTTTTTTTTAAATTTCATTATGACCAAAGTAGTATATTGTTACCATAGTACTTTGAGGAAGTGATTAAGTATTTTTTTTTTTATATATATATTTTTTTTTTTTGTTCTGGTGCTTAGCTGTGATTTGGCCATGGCTAATCACATGACACAGCTGGGCAGCTAGACACACTTGTATACAATGGATGGCATGAAAGGAAGCCATTCATTGTGTACAACTGTCATGTGACCTGCTGTGATTGGTCACAGCAGGTCACCTGGTACTGGAAACAGGGGCCGGCACACAGATCTGTCATCGGCGCTGTCTGAGGTACATGGCCGGTGACAGATCGCGGCCCTGTGGGCAGGCACACTGAGCATGCCTGAAAGGATGCCATATGGCGTCCACCCGGAGGGACGAGCTGCTTGCCCAGCCGCCATCTGGCTATAGGCCGGGCGGGAACTGGTTGAATATATCAAGAGGGTGAATACAATTCAGGAGGGCAGTATTTTTTTTAATATGAAGCCAAGATCAAGAACACAGGGACATGACCTCAAACTAGCAGAAGGAAAGTTCAAAAGTAATCTTCGAAAGTATTATTTTACTAAAAGAGTAGTTGATGCTTAGAATAAACTTCCTGCAGAGCTAGTGAGTCAACAGTCCTTTTTCACATGAGCATTCAGTCTAGACTTGTCTGTCTGTGGTTCAGTCTGGATCCATCTGAAAAAACTATGTACCATATGTTTCGGCGTATAAGATGACTTTTTATACTTCAAAACATACTCCAACAATTGGGGGTCGTCTTATATGCTGGGTATAGAATGTCAGCCCGCTGGACGTGCGGTAATACTGTACGATAGCTTCGGCTACATACAGTATACCGCGCTGAGCCAATCACAGCGAGTGATGTATTCTATTAATGAATACAGAGCCTGCTCGGATTGGCTGAAGTTGTGACATCATCAGCCCGCCTCTCTGACGCAGCCAATCTGAGCAGGCTCTGTATTCATTAACAAAATAAATCACTTGCCGTGATTTGCTTATATGACGTCCTCCCATTCTCCACGCATGCGCGGCTCAGGGAGCACACGGCGATCCGCGGTGCGCTGAGCCCCTCGGATCACCGATTACGGAAAGAGCCGAAGATGTCGGATCGGTCATGTGATCAGCTGTGTCCAATCACAGCTGATCACATGTAAACAGGGAAATGCCGGTTATCAGTATTTCTCTCCTCCCGAGCTGTCACGCTGACAGAGGAGAGGAGAGCTGGTAATCGGCTTTCTGCGGAGGGGACATGTACACTGAACATCAGGGCACTGATGATCAGTGTGCCCTGATGATCAGTGTAGCCCCAGCAGTGCCACTTGTCAGTGTCCGCCAGTGCCACATCAATGCCACATATCGTGCCCATCTGAGCTGCCTTTCAGTGTCACCCATCAGTGCCATGTATCAGTGATGCCTGTCAGTGATTCCTGTCAATGCCCATCAGTGCCCATCACTGCAGCCTCATTAGCGCACATCAGTGAAGGAGAAAAATCACTTATTTACAAAATTGTAGAACAAAAACTAAGAAAAAAAGCTTTTTTTTTCCATAATTTTCAGTGGTTTTTGGTTTAAGAAAAAATAAAAAACCCAAAGTTGATTAAATACCACCAAATAAAGCTCTATCTGTCACAAAAAAAATGATAAAAATTTCATATGGGAACAGTGTTGCATGACCGCGCAATTGTCATTCAAAGTGTGACAGCGCTGAAAGCTGAAAATTGGCCTGGGCAGGAAGGGGGTATAAGTGCCCTGTAGGCTTGTGGTTAAATGGTGTTGCCTCAGAAGGGGGGTAGTCTTCTACGACGAGTATAGCCCAAAACCTATGTTTTAACTGGAAAAATAGGGGGTCGTCTTATACACCCAGTTGCCTTATACACCGGCAGATACGGTATGTCTATGGGTGGGCAGACGTAAACCTATGATCATCCAATTCCATCTGCCTACTTCATTATTTTGTTTTTCTTTTTAATGGCATAGCCAACGTCCAGATCCATTGAAACAGAACCAAACTGATGTGAATTGACCTGTTAAAAACTGAAGTGTAAACGGAACTGGACTAAAGACAGATGTGCAAGCTGATTTAAATTGAATCCGTTTTTATTTAAAGAAAAGAAAAAAGTGACAGAACAGTTGACATCTGTCTGCCTTCACTTTTTCTATGTCTCTAAAAATGCTAAAAAAAAAAGCCAGGGTCAGACTCTGCCTTTAAAAAGAAGCTCCAGTAAAATATATCTTGGAAGGACGCAACCTGCAGAATGGGCGTAATTGTTTTTCATTTTTTACATTGATGTTCTGCATTTCTTTTCCTTGTCTGCTACATTCATGTAGACTTTGTTATCCTGAATGGAACTAAACAGAAGCTAAATGAATACTGCAAGTACACTGTATGTCTGTCACTTAAAGCAAAATGGTAGGACAGTAGAACTATGAAGCAATGACTGAACTGACCCCAAAAAAAACGACATTTGGAAATCCAAGTGAGCATTGTTTGGATAGGAAGGCTGTCTACAAGTTGTAAGCACATCAAGTATACTTTGCCTGATAACTGGCCTAAATATAGTGCTAGTTTTCAAAGAATTCATGCTGTGTTTGCCTTATCCTTGTATGAATCTTAGCCAGGTGCCTAACTGCGTGTGTGTGTGTGTGTGTGTGTGTGTTTTTTTTCCCATCAGCTTGACTTTATTTTATTGAATACGATTAGCCAACGTGCTCACAGAAGCTTTCATAGTCCAGAAAAACCACAATAATCCCTTAGTGGCTAGTGTTATGTATTTATATTACAAACTGGTGCTGAAGTGAACAGAATAGAGTTACAGTAAAGATCTTCTGTTTCGTGAGCAGCAGCTTTGGACTAGCTTGTGGAAAAACATTTTAGGAGATGTGCAAACTGTGAATTCATTGTAGAAAGCATGCTTTCAGATGTATTTGGGCTGAATGGGTGCCTTTTATACTTGCAAGAAAAGTAGTTTCTAAGTGGATTTAAATGTAATTTCTGCACAATGTCAATGAGAAAGTGAGCATGTAGGATTTTGTGCATTTTATAGCATAGAAACCGAGGGTGTGGGATTTGGTTATGCAAAACCATAAGTAGGGTAACAGTAGTGCAGTCATATTGTACATATTCCTAGTCAGCCTGCATTCACCTTTTGTGTAGTCCAAAAATCACATGATTTTTGCACACGCATTGTGGGCATTCAATTATGAATGCATAGAGGGCCCTACATGCACTTGCCATTCGATCAAGTGTTCACCCTCCTCCAGCAAAAGTGCATTTCAGCCTGCCATAGACTTTGACAAGCTACAGACATCAGGGCTAAATGCTGCACTTATACCTCCTGTGCGTGTGACCCCCCCCCCCCCCCCCCCCCCCCCCCCCCCCCCATTTTAGACGCCCAGTGAACAAGTGACCTAATACTAAGTGATACTGTACTGAACACACACGGTTTGATTTACATTATCCATTTACTCTATCCATATGGATGATGGCACTGTATATAAATTTAAAAAAAAACAAAAACCTCAGTACCATTTTTTTTTTTTTTTTTTTTTTTTTTTTTTCATGGTTTATGTACAGCTGTCATGTGACCCGGTTATTCCCTAGCTCATCTGTGGATAAACCGTGGTGGGAGGAACTTGTAGTCGTCCTGTAATGCCAGTCACATGTTCAAAAAGAAAACATCCTGCAAAATAGAATACCAAATGTGTTAAATCATCACACAAATATGTATTTGAACTCCAATCTTTTTGTTATTTTTGTATGAAGTATTCTATCTAGGGGAAGGATCACAGCCTGTTTCATGCCCCTCCAGCCTGTGTCTGTTTGTATGTGCTTAGAATTACAGGGAGGTGATGTCTCCATCAATCAACATGCAGTTTCCTGCCCATATTGTGTTTTAGTGAGGATGGAGGAGGAGGGGGAAGGAGTGGGCTGTCATTTATCTGGAGGATATATGTCTGTGTATGACTCTAATAGTCATGTGGGATGCACAGATGAGAAAAAGGAGGAAATGAAAAGCTTTAAGGCAACTGAAACTGGAGCATGCTCAGTAGATGTAGCAACGGAGTGTCTACACAATCTCCGGCTGCAGCAGGGACACAGACGAGAGAGGGACAGTGACCAGCAGGATCAACCATGATTACTGCAGAATACAAATCCTATAGTGACTGAGTATGAACATGTAATACAGAATGTACTGACATTTTTTAAAGGGGTGTGAGTGTTTTAATGACACGTGTATGTGTTTTAATGACACTTTAACCACTTCCAGTCTGGCCCATGTACATAAACGGCTGGACGGGAGCAGTGCAGGAGTGGGTGGTCATTTATAAACGGCCTCTGCATTCATTGCCTGTGCGCACTCCCTGGGAGATCCGGCACCGATCACTGTACGGGACCTCTGTGTGAGGTCCCGATCATGTGATCACTGATTGGCCAATCAGTGATCACATGAATAGTCGTAAACCAGATGTCACTTGCTGACATCATTGCTTACTACTTGTGAAATCTGTGAATCATCACAGAGGTCACATGGTACAAAGCTATTCACAACAGCCTTGTACCATGTGACCAGTTATAGTTCTCACAGTATTTCTCAATGGCTGCAAGAATGGAATGCAGCCAGAGAGAAAGAGAAAATGATTGCTTTTACAGCCTTTATGGGTGTAAAAGCAATCGGTGTAAAAAAAACAAAAAAAAAAAAAACCTTCATCACCCCCCTACAAGTAGTATAGTGGCACTATGGTGACACTGTACTGCTAGGTTGACAGTGTGTTTAAAAAAAAAACAAACAAAAAAACTATATAATATAATATATATGTAAACATTTTTTTAAAAATTTATAATTTTTGGTTATAAACAAATTTTTTACTAAAAATAGCTGAATACATTTTGGCCAAGATTATTTTTTTTATTTTTTTCAAAATGTTTGGACTTTCATTTTATATAGCAAAAAATGCTAAAATTTTCATATGGGTACAGTGTTGCATGACCGTGCAATTGTCATTCAAAGTGTGATAGCACTGAAAGCTGAAAATTGGCCTGGGCAGGAAGGGGGTGAAAGTGTCCGGACTTGAAGTGGTTAAGAAAGAAACATACACTTTAAAAGATCTGTATGATTCCTTTTGTAAGGTAAAGCTACTAAAACCTTTACAAGCGCAGTAAACATACAGTTCATTGTGCTACAGCTCCAGCATCAAACCTTGTTCAAGTGCCACTTTTTTTATCTGTACTTCTCTTCTTACTCTTCTATATTTATCCATCCCCTAAAATATTTTGTCTTTATTTAGGTGTACACTTAACATTTTGTATTAATGGCACTTGAGGAGATTATTTTGGAGTACCCTAATTTTGTTGGCAGGACATCCTATGTTCTTGGATCAGACCCCTTGCAGTCACAGAGCCTGTGTGTATGATATATATATATATATATATATATATATATATATATATATATATATTTTATTGCCTGGTTTCCAGCGCTACAGAATACAGGAGCTGTGAAGAGCTAAAAAAAAAATCAATTAGGAACTCTCAGATGAAAGTGTTTTAAAAAGAAGTAAGTGGGGGGGGGGGGGGGGGGGAGGACTAAAGCTCAGTAATTTAAGGTATTCTAAAGCGGTTGTTTGAAATGGATCTGTGGAGCATTTCAGCTACTGTTGTGTGCAGAGATATTACTGAACATTGAAATTGTATTGGAAACAGTAATTGCACAAATACACAGCTGTGATGGGCTGGTGGCCTGTTGGGTGAGGATTCTTGAAACAATGTGGCAAAGGTAGGAAATGTGCTGTCTGATTTAAAAAAAATAAAAAAAATAAATAAAAATAAAAAATTTAAAAGGTTCAGTAATGCATGGTTTTTATTTGGGGAATGTAAGTTAATGGAAGCAAGATTATTTATTTTAATTAATCAGCTCTGATGTGCTCTCTCTGCAGAGCACAAGTTCCTGGATTGCAGACAATGTTGGTGTTGGCTTCAGATGCAGTGCTTCGGCTCTGCATTAATTACCCTTGGGCTTCTTAAACAGGAAAAAAAGATGTCTTTACTGATGCATCTTCCTGCCTGCTGCCAATGTCATAGAACACATGAGTTTTCATGTAAATATAGTCTGCTGAATTCTGGAGGACCACAGATTATCTTAATTAAGGCAGAGAGCACCTCTCAGCAGGCTAAGGTACTCCGGTCCATTGAAATTGTGTCATATGAGATGTGCTGTGGCTAAGACCAGTGTTGCCTGTTTGTTAAATTTTTTGTTTTATAATTATTTTCATTACTTTTAATCCTCTACTTTGGTGGGGTCCTTTTTTTACTCAAAACAAGTATGCTGAAGTTGGACTAGCCACATGATGGCGGAGTGAGGTTACATCCTACTGGACCTCCAAGCGTTGTGGACTCTCCCATCACAAAGGCTTTGGGATCCGGACCATCCACCTGCAGCTCCCCACCTGCATCTACCTTCCGAGCAGCAAGAAGCCAATATG